GCGGAAAGCGAGTGCATTTTTTCACCCACTTTCATCTCAGCAACCAGGAAAACTGGGAGGCTGAAACTTTGGATATACGTCCCTACCCTGTGTGTCATCCTCCCGTTTTAAGATCTTTCCCACACGCGCCTAGACTCCGCGTACGGAACTCCCAAAGAAATATGTTGGCGAGAAACGATTCTGCGAGCCAGGCAACGCAGAAAGCTGAAAGTTTGCAGGGATATTCTCTATGCACGTGCGAGCTAAAAATTTTAAACTGAGCTCTCTAGCTTCCCAACCACAGCCTCAAGCAGCTACTCAACCCAAAAATCAACCTAAACCGCGATCGTATATGCAAATAAAAATGGTTTTGAAAAACGACCGTATGAGCAATATTTCCAATTTTTAATGAACTGAAGGTTTTTATATTTTCAAAAAAATCGTTCGCAGCTCGGACCTTAAACGCACCCGTATATGTAAATGAGCATGGATTTTTTGACAAACGACCGCTCGAGCAATACTCCACTTTTTAGTGCACTGGAAATCTGCATTTTTTTCAAAAAATTTGCATTTGTCATTTTTTCACAAAGCGAACATTTACCGAAAAAACGACCGGACTTCATGCAAAAAATCGGTAATCATGCACCTGGATGTCCGTACGGCTCTATAATGCACCATCTTCATCCCAAATGACGCCCTTCCTCCTGCTTGCCGAAGGGGCCAAAGCACGGCCAATACGAGCCCAAATTTCAGGCTACAGCGGAGGGATCATTCTTGCTAATAACGATCTGCGAGTTTATTGCAAAAACGCATGATCGCACCGGAGTGCCTGGTGCGTTCCAGCCTGGGTTTGGTTTTAGCTTCATTGCGCTGCACAGCAAAAACGCATAATAAGCAACGAACTGGACATCCACAACAACCATCAATGATATCTTAAAAAGTTCAAACTCTTGGTATGGGATTTTGTTGGGAGATCTACTGAGTTGGTAAGGTATGCAAAGTTGGCAGCATGACAAAAATGCAACAAACCTTTCTGCTCGGAGCATCGTACCGGCCATATCGTGGTGCAGGCTTGCTGCGTCGCGCGGTCGACTGCTGCTGTTGCTGCTGCTGCTG